AAAAAAAAAAATACATTAAAAAAAATTATATATATACTTGCATTTGAACAACTACCGCTGGGAATGCAGCGCACAGAGGGCCCCTGCTGTTACGGTTCTCTTCCTCCTCCTCCCGCTATAACAAAAAGCACAGCGGGAGAAGAGAAAACACCGTTATATAGAAAGTCCGAAGAGATTTCTATAAGGCTGCGACCGACGCGGGCAAGTCAGGATCGGCGCTGGAGGCAGCTGCGGCTAAGGGAGGAGATTTCCCGGCCATAGCGGGATCTGATGGGGGGGTTTTATTTGGAGAGGGGGGGATCTTACCGGCTTGCATGGGCAGAGCAGAGCTGGGGTCTTCGGATTGGTTTGTGGCCGCTGTTCGGGCTAAGATTGGGGAGAAGGGGGGGAAAAAGGGGGGGGGGGGGAGAGAAAACGAGGCGATCACAGCGACGAGGCGCGGCCTATGGGGGCCCCCGGAGCTGTAAAGGAGAGAAAGGCTGGCGCTCCCTAGGGGTGGAGGAAAAAAAATTCACCTGCTCAAGGAGGGGAGGAGGAAAAACCAAACAAAAGAAAACCAAAAAAAAAAGGAGAACGCACACACCCCCACGGCTGGCTGGGCTGACGGACGCAGGCCCCTCAGAGGGCGGCAGAGCTGCGAGGAGAGGCGGGCGGAGGAGGGGGGAGTTGGGAAGTACCTGGTCTGTGACGTTGATGTCCACGTACTCGCAGAAGGCGTAGCCCTTGGACAGCCCGGTGGCACTGTCCTTCACCAGGTTGAAGGCCTTCAGGGGCCCGAAAGAAGTCAGCAGCTCCTTCACCTGGGGCGGACGGGGAAGAGCAGGGTGAGGCGGGCAGGCAGCGAGGACTCCTGGGCGACTGTGGGCACGCCTCCCCTGCCTCAGTTTCCCCTCCCCACCCTTTGTCTGTTTAGCCCAGGAGCTCTGTGGGGCAGGGTTGGCTGTCACTGTTCTGGGTGCTGCCCGGGCACACGACGGGCTCCCCTGGGCTTTGGCTGCTGGGTGGCACTGGCACGACGCTCCCCCCAGTCTCGGTCGTTGGATGCCCAGGCAGTGCCTGGCGCGGCTCTGGCTAGAGGCTAGGCACGACGAGGGCTGAACGCCACCACCGCCACCTCCCGTAATTCAAAGCCCTCCCCAGCAAAGATTTCACATCAGGCCCACTCTCAGGGGGCAGCTCGGGCTCAAGCCAGAGCAGATGGGTGTTGAGAGCCGGGAGCCGTGGGCTAAGAAGCCAGCGGGCTGGAGCTACTTGTGGGAAAAAGCCCCTTCCCAGTGCCCTGCGGGGCGAAGCGGCCCTGGGTTGATCTGGGCGCTGTCCAAGGGAGGCCACCCGCTGCCCTGTGCTCACCTGATCGTCGTTTAGGTAGTTGGGCAAACCCCCGATGAAGAGCTTGTGAGCCGAGTCCGGGACCACGGTGGACACCACGCCTGCCGGGGGGGAGAGGAAAGGGAACAGATGGGGGTCCCACACCATCCTGCATGATCCGGAGCGGCTGCAAGGCAGCCATGCCCCACAAGACAGCAACGCAGCCCCCGCTCCTCCCACAGGGCCACCTCTGAGGTGGTCCCTGCAGTCACAGCCCCCGCGTTCCAGCCCAGAGTAGCCATGTCCCAGGACCAGGCGAGGGGTCCCCGTATAACCAGCCCCCACGCCCCACCCCAGAGGGGCCACATCTCAGCAACAGGTGAGGGGTCCCCATATAACCAACCCCTCACGCCCTAGCCTAGAGGGGCCATGTCCCAGCGCCGGGCGAGGGGTCCTGCCGGGCGTCTGGTCCCTCCCTCCAATTTCTCCAGCCTCCCCGATCCTGGGCTCCCTGCCCTGCTGCCCCACACCCAGACGGACGGACTTTACAGTGTCATGCAGCACGTGTCTAGGGAAGGACTGGGCACCAGGCTGGATCTCCCTTGCCCCAGTGCGCTCTGGGAGAAGGCACAGGCCCGCTCACCCCTGTTGGCCCCACACCGAGGCGGGGGAGCTACTCACCTGGCACGTAGACAGATGGGTTCTCAGACATGCCGGGCAGCGGCTGATAATCATGGGGGCGGCGGATCTTCAGCGACTGCCCCTGGAAGATGATGCCGTCGAATGCCATGGCCTGGGTGGTCTCGTCCACAGAGCGGAACTGCAGGAGAGCCGGGGGAAGCCGATGAGGGACACGGACGCCCGATTGGCACCGCAGCCCAGATATTTGGCCCAGATCTCCCCCCACCCGAGTGGGACCACTGCCCGACTGCTCATGTAACCCAGTCTCCGAAAACGAGCAGACAAGGTACGTGACACCCCTGTTGTGTCAACTGCCTGCTGCACAACGCCCCCTACTGGCCACGTCCGGAATAACCTGGCCCTGGAGGGAGCGCTGTCCCAGCCCATCGCTAGGGGGGTGTCTTAATCCAGGCTCTGAGCAGGGTTTTGACCCAATTCTCCCTACCAGGCACACAGAAAACCCTCTGACCTGGTGCTTGAAGTCGAAGCTCCGTGACCCGCCTGGGAGGGATTGGGGGGAGCAGGAGGGTGCTAGAAGCCAGCTAGAACCCTGACCCGGGAGGGGGGGTGTGCAGTTAGAACCCAGGAAGGAACTCGCCGCTTTGCAGTAAGGACAGGGGCTAAGTCACGCGAGCACTGATAACACTCCAAGGCCTTCCCACAATTCCCCCGCAGGCCAGACGAGTTCCGCACAAAGACCCCTGGAACCCAGGCCCAGCCGCGAGGTCCGGCCGAGCGGCACGGTTGCTCACGCCCGGGCTAGCTGTCCCATGCAGACGTAGCCACAGCGGTCGGCTGACGCCCCGGGACAGGGTGGGGTGTCCATCACGCTAGAGCTGGGGAAAAGATTTCCACCCAAACTGATTTTCCACGGAGAACAGGGATTTTGGCAAAACGAAGTTTTGCACAAGAAGCGCCTGCTTCCCGGAGAAAAAAAAACCACAATTTAGAAAAAAAAAAACACAATTTTTAGACACAAAACCCAAATGCCCTAAAACCAAAATATTCCTATTTAACGCTGGTGTAAACTCCAGGCAAGCAAACTGCTCACCTCTACAAACTGGACTTCCTGGCTGCATTTCATCTCCCATGATGCACCACAGCCAGGGACTCCCAGGATGCACTGCCTTCCCAATCCAAGAGGATAGGTCATGGTGCACCATGGGAGTTGTAGTTCCCTTATTTGCATCTACAGGCTTGGGTCCCTGCTGGCCAGACTACACCACCCATGGAGCAACACAGCCAGGGACTCCCATAATGCACTACCTCCCCTCTCCAAGAGGAGAGCTGGGGTGCATCATGGGAGATGGAGTCCAAACAGGTGGCCCAGGCTGTAGAGGAGAATGGGAGCATGAATCATCCCCTGAACTACAACTCCCATGAGGCACCGCAGCGGCCTTTCAGCATTTCAGTTTTCAGCCAAAATATTTTGGTATCCAAATTTTTGCTGAAAAATAGAAACTTTCCAGGGAGGAGGAAACATTTTTCCCTACCAGCTCTGGATCACACTCCCTCTCTTGCACACGGCAGATGTTCCGTTATCCCCACCAATGTCTCATCCTCCTTCCAAACGTCGAACGGACCCTGGTTTCAGTCCCATCATGTGGCAAGGAGTTCCACCGGCTACCGGCGGGACCCAGCTTCCCGCTACAGGCCCCTTCAGCCAGTAATTCCACTGCCATGCTGCCCCATATCAGACCACTAAGTCCAGTACTCCCCCCCGCCCCCCAGGACAGACTAGATTCAGTCCTGCATCCGTGCCTCAAGGGCAACACCCATCAATAACGCACTACAGCCCATGGTGCAATCCTCCTCCTGTCCCTGCTGCAATCACATATGGACCTTTCACAGATTCCCACGTCCAGAAGGGACCATTGGGATTATCAAGGTCTGGCCTAAGCCCAGACAACCTCACCCAGTGATCCCAGAGCTGATCCTACAACCCATTATGAGACCAAAATTTGTCAGCACCTGGAGGGTAACAGGGCTATAAGGAATAGCCAGCATGGACTTGGGGAGAACAAATCCTGCCAAACCAACCTAACTTCCTTCTTTGGCAGGATTATTGGCCGACCGGACAGGGGGACGCGGTGAAGTATCTTGATTTAGCAAAGCTTTGACACGGTCCTCACAAGCAAACTAGGGAAAGCCGCTCCAGATGAAATTCCTGTACGGTGGGTGCACACCTGGTTCAAAGACCGGCAATCTGACTAGTTAGCAATGGGTCGCTGTCAAACTGGGAAGCCGGTCCAGCAGGGGTCAGTCCTGGGTCCGGTACTAGGCAATATTTTCGTTAGTGACTTGGATAACGGAGTGGAGCGTGCGCCTATAAAATCTGCAGATGAGACCCAGCAGGGAGGGGTCACCAGCGCTTTGGAGGTTAGAATTCCAAACAACCACAAACTAGGTCTGAGATCAACCCGACGAAATCCAATGAAGACAAGAACAAAGTGCTTCCCTTCAGCGAGGGGGAGCCAACGCAGAGCTACAAAGTGGGGACTAACTGGCCGGGGGGGGTCGCACTGGCTTCCAAGGGAGGTTTTTAAGAACAGGTTGCACAAACTCCCATCAGGGATGGTCTAGGGACACTTGGTCCTGCCTCAGTGCAGGGGGCTGGACTCGATCTCTCAAGGTCCCTTCCAGCCCGGAATTTCTGATCTGTAATTTCAGGGGGGAGCTCAAGAGGTGCTTTCAGAAGGAGAATCCGGTCTGAATTTCAACCGGCCGAGAGACGGCAAACCCACCCCGACCCTGGGTCAATTGCACCAATGGCTCATTCTTCTCTCGGGACCCCAGAATTTGTCTCGTCATCTTCCTGGCCCTGCCTCTTTCTGCTAGACCAGTGGGTCCCAAACTTTAACAGCCCGCGAACCCCTTTCACTAAATTGTGAAATCTCGTGAACTCCCTCCTAAAAATGAGTATTTCCAGGCATTTAAGTTTAAATTTCCTCAGTGTGATGGATGCGCTTGCTTTGCTCTGCATAGCTCTTGGAAGTCCGGAACCACTGGAGAAAGATAAAGTCTCAGGTCTGGTTCGGCATCAAGCCTGTTTCTGTATTTGGTTTTCAGATGTGCATACGAGGAAAACGCTTTCTCGCATAAGTACGTTGTTGAAAATGGTAACAAAACTGCAGCAGCTTTTTCTGTCAGAAAGGGGTACTCGTTTCTTAAACTCAGCCAAAAGTTCATTGGAACGCTGGGGTTCGGGCTGCCGGCTCCCTCACTGACGGGGGCAGGGCTCGGGCTGCCAGCCCAAACTGCCCGGCCCCGCTCTCCCTGGGGCTTGGGATGCCAGCCCCACGCGGAGCGCTGGGGTTCGGGCTGCTGGCTCCCCCGCTGACGGGGGCAGGGCTCGGGCTGCCAGCCCAAACTGCCTGGCCCCGCTTTCCCTGGGACTCGGGCTGTCTGCCCTGCAACCAGGTCCCACCTGCTGCCTCCAATGCCTGGGGTCCTCTGGCCATTAGTGCAATTTTTCTGGCGAACCCCCTGTAACGTTCGGCGAACCCCAGTTTGGGAATCACTGCTAGACTGAAGTGTCCTCTGCCAGCAGAAGTCTCCTCCACAGGGAGGTGCTTGCAAGCTGAGGACCAATTCACCTTTGAACTATCTCCAGAGAGACTAAATCTGCCGTCTCCCCAGAACAGCCCACGGGGAGTCCAATCTGGCTCTCATTAACGCAGAAGGGATTCACAGATTCAATAGCCAGAGAGGGACCACTGTGATCATCTAGTATCTAGTGCATAACACAGCCAGAGAACGTCCCCCGAATAATTCCTGTTCGAACCACAGCGGATCGGTTCGAAAAACAGCCAGCATGGATTTCTGGGGCCAGAAATTCCACCCCGGCCCTTGGTAGTTTGCTCCAGTGGTGAATTCCCCTCGTAGGTAAATATGCGCCTTATTTCCAGTCTGAATGTGTCCAGCTTCAACCGGCAGACGTTGGAGCAGGTTAGATCTTGCTCTGCTAGACTAAAGAGCCCACGATCACATCTCTGTTCCCATCTAGGTACTTAAGAGACTGGATCAAGTCACCCCCTTAGCTCCTAGCTAAGCAGATTGACCTCCTGGAGTCTGTCGCTATACAGACTGTTTTTCAATCCTTGAATTGTTCTCGTGGCTTTTCTCTGAACGCTCTCAAATTTAGCAACATCCTTCTGGACTTGTGGACACCGGAATCGGACAATAAGGTATGTTACGGGAGCACCTAGGAGCCCAGGGCCTCATCGTGCCAGGCGCTGTACGGACAGAACGGAAAGCCGACTCACCTCCAGGAAAGCAAAATTCTTGTCCTGATTGATCTGCACAGCCAAGACGGGGTTGCCAGGGGCCTGGGTCAGCCCTCCAAGGCGCATCTGAGCGTTAAAGAAATCCATCATGGCCTCCTGCGGAGAGAGAGAGGGGAAAAGAAGCGATGTAGGGCAGCGCACCAACAGGCCCGGAATTTCAAATAGATAGCAAAGAGCAGGTGGGAAAACTGGAACAGCCTACTTGCCTTGCATGATGGTAGCAAACTTTTGTGCTACGAGGGATTTCAGCCCCACAATTTTCACTTTAAAAAGAAATGGAAACAACTTTTTGATCTTGGTTTTTTGGTTGAGCGAGAGTCAAATTCAAATACTAAGAAAGAGAGCACTTCCCCTACCGTTACCTGGAAGGGGAGCTGGCCCCGGTTGTCACCAGGCAGGACAAATTAAAAGAAAGGGCTCGCAAGTCACTGGAGCGGAGGATGTTAAAACCACACCAGCGTTCCTGTTACCACGTCCAGGAGCGAAGAGGGCAAATAACTGAGACCCAAATTGCACTGCTCACAGGGGTAAGTAGAGCGACCCGTCTGCACGTGTCACAGGGATAGAGACCTGAGCCCACTCGGGACAGGTGCAGCTACCGATTCCCAACAACGTTCACCGACACAGTTCCGGTTCCCGCCCCTGGCACTCCCAGGCCTCCTGGGCTTTCAGGACTGATCCCCCTCCCTCCGCCCCCAAGGCTATAATGCAGCTGAGGGAGCAGTATATCCTTCAGCCACCTAGCTCAGGCGGTCGGCCCCAGTGAGATGCTACGGTCAGTGTTTGCCCCAAAGCCACCTATGTGTTTAGCCGCATGGCGGCAACCTCGCTCCGTGGATTCTGCTCTCCTTTGCGGCCAGCGCTGCCCTGTTTTGGAGAGAAAAGTTATATCCTCCGGCGCTCCTCAACGGGTCCCGGACAGAGAGAGTGTGCGGGCGACACACGGACAAGAGAGAGCAGCAGCCGGGCTGCCGAAGCCACCAGTACCTCAGTGATGCCGAAGGGGATATTTCCAACGTAGAGGCGGCGGGCCTGTCGGGTCATCTGGCTGCCGACCACCGGGACCGGGGTGGGGGTTACGGCCAATCCATCAGGGGTCATGGTTGGGAGGAGAGCTGTGGCTGGAATCTGACCCGCGGCTAGGAGAGAGAAACACCAATCCACACGTTCAAAAGCCGATTCCCTCCCCCTGCGCCAATGGGGAGTGGGGGGCGATGGGGCAGAGACAGCTAGAGGGCCGGGGCGGTCAGCAGAGGTCTGCTCCCTGCTCGGACAGATGGCACCTAGGCGGGATAGATACCTTGCATGGCTTTGTATTGCATGGGGGTGATGTGCTCAAACCCAGGCGGGGGCACGTCCCAGTACTTGCGGATCTTCTTCTTCTTCTCATGGCGGGGGGAGCGGCTGCCGAGAGAGGAGAGACGCGTCACCAGGCAGGAGGGGTGAGGTTTGACCCAGGCTAGGACGACGGTTTCTGCACCACGAGGTGCTTTGATCCAACCCAGCCAGGGTCGCCACTCAGGATTTGGGGAGAGTTCCCAGCCCACTAGGCCCTACCCCCTTTTTTGGCCAATCCCGGCAGCGGCTTGAGGCAAGAGCCAAGCACCTAGACCAGCAGGGGGCAGCATGGAGAAGCCATGCTCCACCACACGGAATCCCTCCCCCCTGGGGGTGAGCTAGTCCCTCCCGTGCCTCGGTTTCCCCACCTGTTCAACGAGGAGAACGGCACTCACCTCAAGGGACCAGCGAGATTTAGGGGTGACCTGCAGAGGGGAGGGAAACAAAAGTCAGGTTCGCGCCCTTTCCTGCTTCTTTATGGCAGCTGAAAGGACCGTTCAGAGATTTCATTCCTGCATTCACCATTCAGAGACTCTGGGGGTGACTGGAGAACTGGCTAGGTCGGAGTATTACAGGAACACCAGCAGAGAGACCTGATTCACCGACAGGGGAAGGAATCTTCCGCTGACTTCCCCCAAAAGCCTGACACGTGGTTCAGAGATCCCTGTCAAAATTCCCCTTCCAATTAAGGGCAGAGCAAATGTCTAACGCACTCTCCCCGCAGCTCAACAAGGGGAGCTCCAGATGCGATGACCAGCACACCCGCAAACAGGCTTATGTGGATGTCTTGTCCCACCCCAAACTCCCAAGAATTTCAGGCCATGTTACAGGGCCATTGCTGCGACTTTCGGGCTTTATAAACAGCCAGAATGCCACTGGGAGATCAGAGCCTGGGGGACAGAGGACAGCGCCGGCTGGCGGTAACGGAGGCAGTGGAGGGCCCTGGCACACAGCTTCTGGGGCGTTAATATCGGCTGCATGGTAACCCTATCGGCTCCTTTCAGGTCTCGCTGAACCTGTGTCCTGGCCCTGGCCTGTCAGCCCCCCAAAGGGAAAGGGCTCTGCGGCAGCACCCGAGGGACTGCAGAACCCTCAGTCTGTGCTGCCTGGACTCCTAGGGCACAGGGGCCCCCCAAAACTCCAGGCAGAGGGGAGTTATGTCTAAGAACGTGCCCAGAGAATGGCCAGTGTCTCTCCCTGCCCTCCTAACGGCGGGAGGATGGAGAGGTAAAGAGATTTATTCTCCCCCCACACGTATACAGGTCACAGAACAAGTTACTGCAGAGCTGGGGATAGAACCTAGGAGTCCTGGCTCCCAGCCCCCTGCTCTAACCACTAGACCCCACTCCCTTCCTAGAGACGGGGATAGAACCCAGGAGTCCTGGCTTCCTGCCCTAACCATTAGACCCCACTCGCCTCCCAGAGCCGGGGATAGAACCCAGGAGTCCTGGGTCCCAGCCCCCCTGCTCTAACCACTAGACCCGACTCCCCTCCCAGAGCTAGGGGGTAGAACCTGTGTTCCCTCTAAGCTGCGTAGCCGCCCAGGAGTCAATCAAGTGCCACGCACTGATTAGCAGAGCCGTGCACATCTGGCGGCATGTGCTCGACGCCTCCCACACGCCTGCTGCTCCTGCCCTCTGCCTTGGAGCCCCGGCCAGCTGCTCGCAGGACCCTCCTGCTGGCTGTGCAGAGCGGGGGGAGGGCACGGATATCAGGGTGTCCCTCTCCACCCAGCCCATGTACCCCATCTCCACAGAGCTGGGGGGGGTGGGGGGGGCAGGGCTCAGGAGCAGGAGAGCTGCTGCAGTCTAAATAACCAGCTTTCTGGTGAGTGAGTGCCTTAAAGAGAGCGCACGGGTCTCTCATAGACTTCCCCAGCAGCACACCCACACAGTCTCTGTGACATACACACACACAGTCTCTGTCTCTCTCTCTCTCTCTCACACACACACAGTCTCTGTCTCTGACACACTCACCTCCCAACACATACTTGTGTTGTTGCTGTTGTTGTTAATTCTTGGTTCTTCCTGCAATGCACATATATTCTCTGTAATGTTACTCTTTCAAAGTGTGTTATTTCAGTGTTCTGGCTGGTCTATGCATTTCATCATGTTACTTCTCTCTTAGCCTTCAATTTAATTCTTTGAGAACAGCGAGTTCTAAAATGCCTAATCTGTCCTGGCTGGAGTAATTATCCCTATGGGAACTTTTCAAACATATATTCTAGCTAGGTTTTTGTTTCTATTGGTGGTGCACATCCGCACATTGCCTGCACATGGATGGAAAAAGTTAAGAGGGAACACTGGAGAGAACCCAGGAGTCCTGGCTCCGAGCCCCCCCGGCTGTAACCCACTAGACCCCACTCCCCTCCCAGGATAGAACCCAGGAGTCGTGACTCCCAGTCCCCCTCCCCCATTCTAACCACTAGACCCCACTCCCCTCCCAGAGCTGGGGGTAGAACCCAGGAGTCCTGGCTCCCAGCCCCCCAACTCTCTTCCCAAGGCTGGCACTTGGGGCCAGCCATTCCCCCTCCGGCTTCTTGAACCGGCCATGGCACCAGTGAGGATGCGGGGGAGGGAGGAGGAGGGGGGAGACGAAGGGTTCCCGGGGCTCAGCCCACCCCTCCCTACCTGCGTCGCCTGCGGTCCCGCGAGACGCTGCGCTGGTCTCTGTTGCGCCTCTCCCGGCTGCGGCTGCGGCGCTTCCGTTCGCGGCTCCGCGAGCGGCTATGGCTGCGCTTCCGGTGACGGTTCTCCTTGTCGCGCTCTGCGGGGGGGAGAGGGGAGGGCGGGCGGGTTAGCGGGGGACGCACGAGCCCTGCCCCCGATTCTTGGCATCCCATCCCCCAGCTACTCATCTCCCCACACGGGGACCTGGGCCTTGCCTGGCTCCGCTGTGGGTCCAGTTGAAATAACAGGCGCTAGTTTGCCTAATGCAGCATGTGGGGGACTCCAGCTCCCAGCATGCAACGCCCCCTCCATCTCAGAGGTGCAGCCAGCAGAGACTCCAGCTCCAGCCATGCCACACTGCATGGCATGCTGGGAATCGTAGTTTTGGGGCTCTACACTTTGCCTTGTGATGGGGGTGGCGGAAGCCCCCTAGGGAAGCCAGCCAGGCAAACAGCCACAAGGAACCACAAGGCCTTCTATCCGAGGGTCCCCCTACACCCCCTGCCGCACCTACAGAGCAGGGACAGGCTGCCCTAGATGCCAGGGCACAACCTTGATGCCAACTCTCCCCTCGATGCCACCTGCCATGCAGCTCCCCATCCAACGCTACCCCTTCTGCCTTCCCTCAACCGTCCCCACCCAATCCATTGCTCCCCCTTCTGCCTTCCCCCGACCGTCCCCACCCGATCCATCACCCCGTAGGAGTGCCAGACTAACTCCTCGTGGGCCCCTTGCCTGCTGGGCTAGATAACACCGGCCGCTGAGCGCTCCCCACTGATTGCTGCTTTATTGCCCCGGCTGGGAGGGTCTCCCCCCTATCCCAGAGAGAACAACAAAGGCCACATTTAGGTACCGAAAGGGAAGGCAGCAGAGCCTAAGTGAATTAGGCACCGAACTTTGTAAACCTGACCCAACAGGAAACAGAACCCAGCAGTGCGGACGCCCAGTTCTCCTCCCCCACTCCCCTCCCAGAGCTGGGGAGAGAACCCAGGAGTCCTGATTCATATGCCAGTGATCTAACCACTGGACTTCACTGCCTCAAACACCCCTCGCTCTGCTGTTTGCCCTGTCAATGTGATATTGAACGGTGCCTCTACCCCAGAGCCACAGCTGTAGTCTCCCGCACCATATCCAGCCCCAGATTCAGCCCCCCCCGAGTGAACCTCCTGCTTGATTTTAGCGCCGAGCACCTGCCAACTTCATCTCAGTGTATGGGGGAAAAAAGGTCAGGGTTCCGGGTTTTTAATAGGCTCTGCTACTAGAGAAACTACGCTTCGAGGGGGGACTTTAAAAAGGTTTGAAGGTAAAGAATAAGACACTATTCAAATATACCACCATGGGTGCCCCCCCACCTGCCCCATAGCTTCCCAGTCACCCCCACAGCTCCCCCTCTGGCCCCCTGCCTGCTCCATAGCCCCTGTTCTCCCAGCCCCCCTCTTCCCTCCATGTGCCCCATAACTTCAGCCCTCATAGAAACCCTTCCCCCAGCCCGCCACCTCCCCATAGCTTCCCAGCCCCCCACCCCATAGGCCCCATTCCCCTAGACCCCCACCTGCCCTATAGGTCCCCTTCCCCAACCCCCCTCCCAACTCCCCACCTGCCCCATACCTTCCCAAACCCTCTTTATCCCCCACCTGCCCCTTAGCTCCCCTTTCCCACACACCCCCACTCCCATCGCACCGTGCCTCAATTTCCCTTACCAAACTGGGAAGGGGGCTAGACTTAACCACCGGGGCTGCGTTTCTCAGGTGCCCCTGCAACACCTTCAGGGTCCCAATCCCAGCCCCAGTGGTCCTGAACCCCAACTTCCCTCACATCCCAAAGGCTCTGCATTTTACACTGGAAACGGTCTGAGCCAGGAGGGAGTGGGGGGGCCAGGCTCCAGATCAGAGCAGGTGCCGGCCAGGGACCAGGCCAAGAGCCCACAGCTGTGCTGGGAGGGAAAACAAAGGCCTGCGTCATAGGCTGGGCTGTACAAAGCCTCATTTGTGAGGACTGATCTGTTGATCCAGCCATGTGCGCGGGGGGGGGGAGGGGTAGATTTCTCCATGGGGGGCAGGGGAGACAGGCTTGGCGAGCTCTGGAACTGCGCAGGACAGGCAGCAGAGTGTGAACCACCCCGCTCCTAGCCCTGGGAGCCGCAGGGGGGAGTGGTTTGGCACCTGCTTGGGAGCCAGGGCAGGGGAGGGGTTTCAGCTCAGGGATAATCGACGCTCCCAGAGGTGGGGTCCAGCCCAAGAGGGGAAGGCCGGCCCTGCGGCTAGGGTGCCAGCTGAAATCCCAGCTCAATTCCCTGCTCCGCCACAGACTGCCTGCGTGTCCTTGGTTCAGTCACTTAACCAGTCTGTGCCTCGGTTTCCCCACCACGCTGCCACGCGGGGGTGTTGGGAGCGTAAATACACTAAAGCATGCGATGTGCACAGAGATCTACCGATGAAAAGCTCTAGGAAAGGGCAAGGGATGATACTGACCAAATCCGGGAAGCAGCCAGAACTGCTGGGTTTGCATCCTGTCTCTAGAACGAACAGGGGAGAGCCCCTGGCCCACTGACACCCCGTTTACAAAGCGGGGAGAACACCCACCATTTTATCCGCTGACCCTGGGCAGAGTCAACGTTCCCTGCTGTCAACGACTCAGCAGGCGGCCGCGGGTCAGGCTGGACGGTTTCAGAGCCAACGGGACGTGAGGGAGAGACCACCCTTGACTGCCCCACAGCCCGGTTTGGTCAGGGGGCGGTCAAGCGAGCCTCGCCCCCACGACCTTCAGGATTGTTACCGAGCTCCTGAACCACTCAGCCACTGCACCCCTGGGTCCTCGACTGCTCGAGTTCATTGATCCCGCTTGGTATCCTTGCAGCTAGCAAGCTGGGCCCCGTTTCAGTCACAACCGGACGTCCTAGGGACCGGGGGTGCTCAGCTCAGCCCAGCCTGGGCGGCGTGACAGAGAGGGTACTAGCGTGGCTTGATCTCGGGGAGATCGGCTGGTCTCGTGGCAAGGCGCTGAGGGGACATCTGGACTCCAGCGTTATACAAACCCCCACATCTAGCTATGGTAATTACCCGGCCCCAGGACCTGTGGTAACTGAGCGCCTCACAGTCCTTGATATATTGTCTTTTCAGCTCCCCTGCGCTATTGTCTCAATTTTCCAGATCACTCCCCAACTACCGCTTCTCAGCTGGAGATCTCAAAGCACTTCAAAAAAAAGAAGTTGGTTGCATTAGCCCCATTTTACGGATGGGGAAACTGATGCATGCAGGTGACTTTCGCCAACACAGGGAGTCTGTGGCCAAGCAGGGAATTGAATATGGATCCCCTAAGCACCGGACCAGCCTTACAGGACTCAACCGCCTTCCCCCTACCATGCCATGGCCCTACAGCCGCCCACTGTCACTCTGAAAACCGGGCTCAAGGATCACAGCAGGACTGTGTTAGCAGGGGTTGATTTTCCATCACAGGCAGCGCCTAGCACCACCAGGACAGGTACATACAGATTTTCATGGGTAAATGTCCGTAAACATCTATTTCTCTCTCACACACACACACATGCAAACAGACAAAAAAAATTCTCATCAATGATCGACATTTACAGATGAGGAAAGTAGGAAAAATGCTGCCTGAGAACAGGGTCCCACCTCAATGCGTACCAAACGCACGGTGGCGTTAGACCGTTATTGTCTGACCCACCCAGAACTTGCCCCAGCTGTGAAAATTCAAATTGATAAAAATCTAAAAAAAAAAAAAAAGCTTAAAAACCCCCTAATTTCAGGCAACTGTGAAAATTTAAATTGATAAATAGAAAAAACATTTAAACACCCATCATTTTGCACAACTGTGAAAATGTAAATCAGCACAAAAAAAGGTTTACTTCCTCCAATTCCATGCAACCGTGAACATTTAAATCGATAAAAAGATAAAAATGTTTAAAATCCATAATTTTGAGCTACCGAAAATTTAGAGATAGAAACGTTTAAATCCCATAATTTTGTGCAACTGTGACATTTAAATAGAGAAAAATGCTTAAAACCCCATACGTTTTCACAGTTCCTCAACATTAAGTCAGGAAACATTGAAAAAAAGGGTTAAAAAACCCATAATTTTTGCACAACTGTGAAAATGTAAATAAACATAAGAAAAAATGCTTTAAAAAAAATCCATATTATCTGTCTAAATTTCAAAAAAAGTAAGACTTAAATTCTGCCAAGCCAAGGAATATAATACCCCACACCTCTGAGGGGTTATTTATAAAGGCTTTATGCTTTTAATAGGATGCTGGCTCTGTTGGCTTCAGAACTACCCTCCGCTTTGACGTAAGCAAGCTCCCAAAACACAATATTTTTGCTGTTTTTATACGGGGGTCGGCTGACAGGGATGGACTTGGAATCCATTCCAGCTTCACCCCAGAGCGGGATGTCCCATGTGCTTCCTTCCTAACACAAGGGAAATGATCAATCATACAGCCAAGCAAGGGGGTTTTAAACCCTTCCAGGTCCTGGCCCAGAGAAACCCACCGACCCATGGAGGGGTTTCCCTGAAGAGATCAAGCCACAGTCCCTACGCTCCCTCCCCAATGCTGTAACAGGCAAGAGATTCACATCTGGCCCCTAACATGTGCCCATGGCTGCCATCACCCCTGCATCCAAGTGCAGGGCAGAGACAGTAGGCCTGCCCTGCCCCCCAAAATGCCCCCAGTGGTGCCGTGTGGCCCTCCCCACCCCATGGGACTTATTTGCCAAGAGGGGACGTCAGTTTCCTGCTGTAAAGAGGAAAATGGGTGATTTGGGCTTCCTTCTTTTCCCAGTCTGAGGGGCCTGAGTCTCCTGGGGTTGGGGGTGTTCCTACCCTTCTCTCCCCGGAGACCGCCCCCCACCCCCAGCGCCCGGGGGGCGAGAGGGGAGGGGGTAGAACAGCCAAATGTTTTACCCCCTCCCCCCAGCCTGCTAAGGTTAATTATGGAGCTCAGTGTCTCTGCCCAAGGGGGTGCTACAGGGAGGAACAGGGGTTGGCTGGCGGGATGCCAATGGGGGGGTGGCTAGCAGAAGGGGTGCAGAGGCCATGGATTGAGAGGGGCACAGGGAGGGCTGGTGGGTTGGGGAGTTCAGGGTCAGGCTGGGGGGTTGTGGCAAAAGGGTGCTGGTGGGGGGCTATAGGGCAGGCACTCAAGGAGTGCACAGGCTCTGGGCACTGGGGGCAGGCAAGGGTGCTGCTGGAGGGCATATGGAGCAGGAGTTTGGGGCTGGGCAATGCTATGGGGCAGGAAGGCAGACACTGGCAGAAGAAAGGGGAAGTGGAGGGGATGGAGAAGTTGGGGGCAGGCAGGAGAGCTGCCTGGAGACCATGGGGGGGGGGCGCATAAGACAGGCACTCAGATGTTGGGGGAGTACAGGCTGGAAGGGGGCTATGGGGCAGGCTGTG